AGTTGTAGCAGCAGTAGTAGTTGTAGCAGCAGTAGTAGTTGTAGCAGCAGTAGTAGTTGTAGCAGTAGTAGTAGTAGTAGTAGTCGTCGTCGTAGTAGTTGTAGCAGTCGTAGTAGTTGTAGCAGTAGTAGTAGTAGTAGTAGTAGTTGTAGCAGTAGTAGTTGTAGCAGTAGTAGTAGTAGTTATTGCAGTAGTAGTAGTAGTAGTAGTAGTAGTAGTAGTAGTAGTAGCAACAGCAGTAGCAGTAAGCAGTAGCAGTGGCCCCAGCCAAGGAAAGAGGAAAATACTGATCTCTGAAATGCAGAATATATTACTCTATGCTGCACCTATATGGGCAGAAGCAGCACAGAGTAAATATAATAAGACAAAACTCACCAGGACGCAAAGAAAAATGGCGCTGCGAATTGTATCTGCATACAGAACAGTTTCTGCAGATGCAGCATTGGTTCTAGCAGGACTTATGCCAATACTCATTCTGGCCCAGGAAAGAATGGTATTACACAAAGCAAGAGGGAATGACACAACAAAAGAGACGACCCGGGAACAATCCTTTTAAAAATGGCAGAGCGAATGGGACAACACGCCCAATGCTTCATGGACTCGACTTTTGATTAAAGAGATAAAACCCTGGGTGACACAAAGACATGGACATCTTAACTACTATTCAACGCAATTTTTGACAGAACATGGTAATTTTGGAGTATACACGCTCAGAATTGGCAAAACGTTACATGATCTATGTCGTTACTGTCAGGCCAAAGATACAGCAGAACACACAGCTTTCCGCTGCTGTAGATGGGAAAAACTAAGGTTCGACCTCAATCTACAACTGGGGGAGGACATAACGACAGAAAATATTATCAACAAAATGACTGAAAGCAACAGCAACTGGAACAAAATTAGCACATATCTGTCTACTATACTAAGAATAAAAGAAAAAGACGAAAGAGGCTCACGACGTACACTCCTGAACCCCTAATCACCCCGGTGGAGGGGGGACGTAGGGAGCTATGACAAATCAGAAGACACGCAATTATAGACAGCCCACTGCCCCCGACGTGATGCCGAAATGGCGGTTCCGAGGGCAGTAAGAAGGGCGGTTCGACACGGCCTCTTGTTCGGTTAGCACTTGCGCCGACTACGACCCCCCCCCCAAAAAAAACCCACTAGCAGTAGTAGTAGTAGTAGTAGTAGTAGTAGTAGTAGTAGTAGATGTAGTAGTAGTAGATGTAGTAGTAGTAGTAGATGTAGTAGTAGTAATAATAATAACAATAGTGATAAATAAAATTAAAGAACCAAACATTAGCATGACACTTCTTTGTTAGATAATATGTACAGGTAAAACAAATTTTTATTTTGTAAATGTGAACTTTTCAACTGAAAGGTTAACTTTGCAGGATAAATGCTTATACCGTCAAAGCACTATCAACAAAAAATATTTACTTTCAAAAACTTTTTTTCTTAAAGAGTATTGTTTTTATTTTTTCATCATACTTTATTATTTGAATAAATTGAATATAATTGCTTCCAGTGAATCCATCTACCTGCTTGCATATATGAGTGAAGATATTGTCATCCGTAAAGCAGTGGTTCTGTAACCCCTTTAGAATTTAAAAATATACAAGGTACAAAGTGCTTGTACGACATTCATTTAGTCTGGGACGAAAGCTAATAAAGTAGAAGGTCCGTATAACATTACTCTTAATGTTGCGTTGCTCTTTTGAAAATCAAATTTAATTCTTGGGCTTTATTTCCTCACCCGAGAGCTTCTGGCCAATCTCCTCCTGATCGTTGTCGAGCCCCTGCAGGTCCTCGCTGACGCGGAACCTCTTGAGCAGGGCAATGAACTTCTGCTTGAGGTTGCGTTGCTGCAAGCACAGGACACGCGCATAGGTGGCGAGCAGCACAGACACGCTGCCCGGGTCCGCCCTGAGGCCCAGGCCCAGGCCCAGGCCCAGGCGGCAGTGCTCTGAGAGGCGGCGGCGGGTGGGGCGGGCGGGCGCGCTACTCACCCTGGCGTTGGCCGGGATCTTGCCACGCGCCGCCTTCCGCGCGCGCCTCCCCATCGCGTCCTCGGGCATCGGCTCCGAGTCGGAGCCCTCGCCCTCGCCGTCCTCGTTGCTGCTGAACTCCTCCTCGTCGTCAGAGAAGTCCGCCACGCGATCTGCAACCACGCCACTGATGCCTTTGCGGCTTGGGGCCATTTGAGCCCTTATTGAGCCCAACCCCCGCCCCCGCCCCGGACGCCTGCCACGCGCCGCCACTCACGATGGACCAACGGTCCGGAAAACAACAATTATAATAAAAGAACACCACGTTTTTCATGATAAAGCATGCACGTTTTTAGACGCAGGGAATACGAAAGAAAGACCACAACGGGCTACAGCTGGAAAAGGATTATTGAAGACGAAAAATGCCTGGGTTTCAAGATTGGAATGCGTGAAAAACGAACAAGTTTGAAGGATTATGAGAATAGAATGGTGCAACGAGGAAATCATGAACGAGAACGCAGATTATTTTGTTAAGTTACAACGTAAGGTCCCTTTTATTTAATTTATTTTGTTCAAGAATAGTAAAAAATGTGTGTGGCGTATGGAGGAGAAGTTCAACCTCTGCAAGTATTCATGAGCACCAGAATCTATTCATCTTTTAATAAAAATTATAAATAAAATTTCCAAAAAGTCCAAAAAAGATGGCGAAAAGTAAATGGCCTTAGAAAGAGGCAGAGCGTAGGAAGAGAGGGTAGTGACCCAGAAACCGGAAAACTCTTTAAAGAGACAGTTTTGAGAAACATCCTCAAGGTTGACAAGAGACTGTTTTGTGGACATTTGTGAAGATTGAGAAGCAGGATACGCCCGTGGACAAGAATTTAACTTTACAAACTAACAAAATCGAAGAAAACAACAACAAACAAAACATATGCAGTAAATACAATAGTATGCAGTAAAATCGTAGTAATAGTTTTGACGCTAACAAATGAAGTAAATAATTTTACCATTTCAAAATACAAAAGAGAAATAAATTACACGAAGCTTATTCACACATCGTCGAGATGAAAATGATCCAAAATTTCGTGATCAGGTGAAGCGAAGTTACGTATGTTGGCTATCTCTTGGCCGTTGGGGTAAAAACAGCAACAACAACGCAATAATCTATATACACATTTTAAATATTCAAATAAGTGACTTGTCGGAACGAGTTCTACAAATGGTAGCCACCAAAAGTACCTCGGCGTGACACGTGTTAATATTGAGCTAATTAATTTTAATTGTGAATGCTGCAATATTTATTGTCCATACAAGTTTGTACAGACTTCCGTTTATCTGACGAGCACAGGAAAACATATGCTGCTAACAACCGACAATATTTAACAATACGAACACAGTCAGAATGCTTGCCAAGCAACATATGCGTCGGAGGATACGTTTCAAGTTCATAAGATTCTTTTTTGCTAACAACACGATCTGAAAGCAGTAGACTACTGCGTTATTTCACATTACTGAAAAATTGCGTAATATTATATTATGTGGTTAATAAGTACTGAATCGTTCCGTTTACTTGCTGAAAACTAAAAAACTGTGCACAACTCGAAAAGCTAATGACATAATATACAAATCGAGAAATTATGCAAAGATAACTAGTCAAAAATGTTCAGTCCAATACTAATATATTCTAGGGTATTTATTCTTACTTTCTAATTATTTTCTACGAGAACACAATAAATAACAGTGGATAATAGTTTCAACGAGTCTAATCCTCACTTTACACAACATACCGTAACATCGCACGCATGAAGTGAGAGTAGACGCTAAGTTTCATGTTCATCACAAATAAACTGAATAAACTCGTGTGGTATTAAACTCAGATTGCCTATCGACCGATAGTACTTTAGACAATTTGCCGAGGCTTGAAAAGTGGCAACTGTTAAACCAACTATTCTGCAGTTATACACGCACTTTTGTTCCGACAGCCTGAGGTGTACGTTTCATAAGGCAACCGCCTCGGGGGCGGAGCGGAGGGACTTCCGCCTGGTCGCGTGCTTTCCTTGCAACCACTTCAGTCGTGTTGGTGCAAACGACTAATTCAGGACGATAGTAAACCTCAGCAAAACTGCAGATGGCACACACGTTTTTCAACAAAGGAAACAGCCTAATGACGACGAACGAGCGCAAGAGGACATCTAGGAAAAGTACCGACATATTGCCATCGATGCATGAGTTACAAAGAATTGTCAGTTGCATACTCGGAGGTGCAGAGCAGAATACAAAGTTATTTCCCGTCGAATAATATAAAACTCCCCATTTATTTAACGAACGCCAGAAATGAGGTCATTACAGTAAAAGTAATCTAGCGATTACTTCAAAATGAAACTAGCGGTGCAACAAATGGCTCCGGCTTACTCGTACTAGTTAGTTTTCTAATTTCGACGTCCAAACTCGCACGCCCCTATTTCATCAAAATTCATCGCTTCGAATCGAGCCAAATCGACTGGGGAATATCCACATCGGAAAACATTTCTGAAATTATTAGGTGCTAGTGTTGTTCACAAACAAACGGACGGAAAACGGGCGTTTTGAAGGGAAAACAATCTTTTTTCTTTAACAGGGGTCCCCACCCCAGTGCATTTCAGTTGAAATCTCGAAATCATTTTCTGCTGCATCTCATAATTTTCTCTTTACTACGCATATTATTCCGTATATACGTACGTATACGAGAAAGTCAAAACTATACCAGCGATGTAATAGTAGAATCTGGACATGCTTTCTAAATCAGATACCATTTCACATTTACGATCACAGTATCTCTTCGACCGCGTCCACGACCACATTGCCTAAACGTATCTCACTTCTCGGACAAAGGCCCCGAAGCAATCACTTAGATGGACTTCAAATCTCTCTTCAGATAATTTCTTATCAATAATCGTAGTGTGATTCCTGATACCAATGCTCTGCTTGCTGCAGGTAATCTAACGAATCATGATCAAAAAATAATAATAAAATAAGGCCGACTTGCAATGACCTGGAAGACATCTTCCCCGGGAAAATTCTGCAAGCGACGTGAAGTTCTTCGCCGGATCTCAGCATCCAGACGGACAAGAATACCGCACCCCATGCTTAACTATTCTAAACTTACGGGACTAATGACCGTAGCTGTTGATAACGCGAAATAGTCACACAATATTGAGGGCAGTAAAACGCCCCGTGGAGAAGGAATTGTGAGAGGACGAGCTCACCGGAGGCCTCGAGGCTCTTGTTGGCGGCGGCGGCGTCTGGCTCGTGGTCCACGGGCTGCGAGTTGAGCGCCTGCACCGACACGCGCCCCACCACGTTGCTGCTCAGCCCCGACGGCAGCTTCTCCTTGGCCTCCGAGCACAGGTCCAGCTCCAGGTCCATCTGGCGCTGCAGCACCTGCGCATCCTGCGTCTCCACCACCGCACACACGGCTGCCTGCGCTATCTGCTTTTATTGCGATACTCAGGAACGGGGGATTTATTTGTACATAATACAAACATAAATAAATTTAACTGTTACTGTTATGCAGCTCGTTTTACAGTAAAGCAAGAATACTCTCAAACAAACAGAGTCATTTCACATTGCTTTTATTTCATCGAAGTGAGCTTTCAATTTTTGAATACCATAATCCGTGACCAAAACTTCTTAAAGTAAAATGAGCCACATACGTGGTAAAAATTAAAGAAAAATATAACCCAGTTTTAAAAAAAATACTGTTTAAAATTTAAAAAATTCACGCAAATTATGAAAAATTACTTATATTTGGGTATAAGGTTGAGTCTTCAATAAGGGTAACCATATTTGAAGATCTCTATTTCAAAGAACTGGCTTAACGACGAAAAAAATCATTATTGTTGCAGGAAGATGCCGAAACATTTTTGTACTTCTGAAATTTTCGAAAATTTAGAGTTCAACGATAATCAGACCTGCGGCATGTTTAAGAGAGAATTTTGCTCTACCGGAGAAAACAAACAACCTCAAAACTTGGATATTTTTTGAGAAGTGTACAATATTTTCAGACTTGAAGTAAAGTAGTTTAAAAGGAAGTGAATCATCCCAATTCGCAACATTTGTCACCGTCTTAATCTTCATACTGAATGCCCGCCCGTGTGTAGGGACGAGGCGCCCGCTTACATTTAGACATTACTCCTGAAGAAAGGAAAATAAATCCTCCGAATGTATGTTTTAAAGATTTTAAAAATAACTAAACATGCCTGGACAAAAAACCTATGAAATAGAAATTTAAACACTTTTTTTCTGTTTCCTGTTCTATTTATACCTATTCTACGATTTAACAACGATTTATAGTAATGATGGTGGTACACAAGCAAATACTTTCTCGTATTATTTCTGTTTCACAATATTATACCACTACATGAACCTACAAAAGTGTTTTCAACCAGCGAAATGTTTTATCCATACTGAGACTCGAACTCAGGTTCTTCAAGTTCACACGCTATGCGCCTTATATCTACGCCATCAAAAAGGTCAGACATTGCAACTCGGGTCGACCCTTGAACACCTACACCTATTATTTCCAACTTACAATTTTTGAAAATTGAGAATTCAGTGAAAATGAGACATATCTTCCTTTAAGCGTCCCTTGTATACATGAAGAAATAGAAAAATTCCAGCAGTTTTTGAGGAAATGTTCGTTTCATAATTTGGATTAATTTTACGTACAAATCACACAAAAACGACTCTATTTTTTCAAAATTGTACGTGACCTTTTTTATAATATATTTTGTTTAAGGACAAATCTCTCTTTAATTTTGTAGTTCTGAAATGTTAAGTTTTTGCAATTTCTAAAAATACGGAGAGTTCGCCGAGAATGGGACCAGCACCATTTTCTTTACCGTCCCGTGTTACATACGTGAAGAAATGTTTTAAAAAGTGTAATAGTTTATGAAGGGAAGTGTTTTAAAAAATTAAAATTGCCTTAATTGTAAAAAAAAATTACACGAAAATTCATATTTTCAGAAAATTGACATTAACAGAACATGACATTATTTAAGGATGAATTTAATAGATTTATTAAGATTATATATATTATTATGAATATATACATATATATATATATATATATATATATATATATATATATATATATATATATATATTATTCAATACTGTAGTTGTAGGAAAACGCCCCAAAAAATTGTACTTTTGCAATTTCCAAAAAATCTGGTATTTCAACGAACATGAGACCTGCGCCTTTCTCGTAAGCGTCCTTTTCCCTACCCCAGAACAAAGTTAAATAAAATATTGGAGCCATTTTTGAAAAAACATTTTGAAAATGTTTCTGAGTCTTCTTTTAAAAAATCAAAATATCAAACTGACAAAGAGTCGAGTTTGTTCACATAGATCAGAGAATATCGGTTCAGGCGCTGGCGTTGACCATAGACGGGCGTTTCGCCCTCGTGTACCTAGTACCCAAAATAAGTCATTTAAAATTTAAAGGAACACGATTTATCTATTTTTCGTTACAAGGGCCCGCCAATAAGAAATTATCTGTCGAAAATTTGTCGTTTTTCGGTGCAAGATTACAATACTTTCTCTTTTTGTGAAGGAAGGGCAAGAAGGTAAAAAAAAGCCTGAGATGCTGAAGTCACCTATTTAGGATCTTAAAACGCATACTTTAAAACCATACAAATCCGAGGCCAATTTATAATAAAATAAGCTATTTGTGAGAAGAAAATATTACTCAAGATTGGTTGCAGCAGTTGCCTAGCAGTCAACTGGACTTCTACTGTAATAAGTAACTTTGAGGAGAGTGTGATGTTACAGATCACTCTACTGTACGTACACAATGTTGGATCCAAATATACATATGAACTACATTCGTGCATATGACCATCATCTCTGGGATGGTTGGCCGATATGAAAGAGTAAAGCCGGTGAAAGGGTACCCAGTGCGGTACCATGCAGTTACGAAAAAAATTCAAATTCGTCTAGAAGAAATCAGAACTTTCTGAAAATATGGCTGATAATTAAAAGTTAAATAAACTATAGGATATGAACTATAACACAAAATAGTACAATTTTCATTAGTTTTTGAAAACTTTTTGATACTAATAAATGAATGTACACATCACAGTTTTGTTTCCTACGTAGAGGGACAATACCGGCACCTGGGACATGTTGATGACGCCCTCGGCGAGCGTCTTGTAGCCCAGGATGGTGCGGTTCTTGTAGCGCTTCCGGCGCTGCAGCATCACGTGCAGCTTGTTGCCCTCGCGCTTCAGGAAGTGTGGGTACTGCAACAGACACATAGATATTTTAGGCGCCTAAATTGGGAACTAGGGTGCTTCATCAGCACATTCTTTCGAGCATTATTTCTAACTGCTCCGTTATATGATAGTAAAGCATAAACACGCAAATGAATTTTCAACCAGCAGAAATGATTTGCTGCACTAAAGACTAGAAATCATCGCCTCCGAGTTCATTCGCTGCCAGTCATGCCACTACGCTGTAGAAACGCCGTGATGTTCGAACTCGAGCAGGCGCTTAAATATGTAATTGCCTCAGCCAGGACAAGATCTTGGCTCCCGACGGTGGGAGTGCAGATGTAATGTGTAAGGCGAGAGGATACAGCAAGGAAGAAGAAGCGAAGATCGAATGCAGTCCGTAGCCCGTTTGTTACGGCACTGCTCCCACGATCGACTGGAATTGATCGGAGATACTAACAGCCGTTAGAATTCTCCTCCAGGCAGCGATTCAATTCGGCCTAGCTAAGTCGCCAGTATAGAAAATCCGTCACCGTCAGTATTAGAACCGTAGGACCTCCCGATCAGAATCGCCGAGACAGCGGCTCTGAGCTGAACTCGGTCGATGAAACAGAATCGATTTGCAATAAAACTGTAAGTATTTAGTTATTCCGCGCTCTCATACCGGTTGAATTCTCACAGATACAAGTCATACGACAGCGAATTACCCAGAAAGTGCCAGTCCACATTAAATATTTTCTATTCACATGTTGCGTTATGAAAAAGCAAACTTTTTTGATATACATCCTTGGTAGAACGTTGGCACTAAATAAATACTTATTTGATTTTATTTGATTGTACAGGGGAGCAGGGGCGGATTAATATTTTTGCCGCCTGTAGGCACATCAAATTTGCCGCCTCCTGTTTAAAATGAATGTTACATTTCAAATTGTAACGTTTCATTAACAATTCCTCATTAATTTGAACGAATTAACTTTAAAAATAACATTACATTTTGCACATTGTTTTCATAAATTAAATAAATTTTTATGATTAACTAATTTTGGATATAAACTGTATCTTCATAGCAAGTAACGTCCAACATTATTAACGTTTCAACACTGAAACGTTAACATTAAAAGGAAACTAAAACATGACAAATAGAATTGCAACATGTTTTCTTTGGTCAACAGGCCTTACTTTCAGATTCAGATTCTTCTGAAATCATAAGGTATACTCTAATGAAGTAGACAAATAAATAGCATGTATTAAATATTAATATGATAAGATTTTTATTTACAACAACTGAACGATTCGAATATTACCACGTAACAGTTTTTATAATTTCAGATTTACCATCATAAACAAGGAATATAACATTTAACTTTTTGGATGTTTTTTTTATACAGTTGAAATAACGTTTTATTAATAGTAGCTAATTTGTATATTGATGTAAAATTTTGCGACGTGCCTTTTGGTGAGCAAATTCATCAATAATTATAGTATAATCTAAAAGGCTGAGATAATTTTTTTCGATACACAATAACGCTAAGGAGTTCAGTCGATACTCTGTCATTGTAGAACGCAAATAATTTTTAATCCTTTTTAAACAAGAGAATGAACGTTCTGCTGTGCAATTGGCCACCGGAATACATAAAAAGATTCGAAGTGCAATGTCAACGTTAGGATAAATACATTCTAATTCTTCTTACCGTAACCACTTTAATAAAGCTGCAGGATTCGTTAGCTTAACATCTTCGTCAAGTATTTTTAAATACGAACTTAAACGTATAAGCTCAGAAACAAGCGATTCTTTAAGATCTTGGGGAAATTGTGAACATAAAAATATCTCTGCTTTTTCCAAAAATTATCTAAAATAATTTTTCTATTTCAATGACAGCCTTAAATTTGTCATATACATCTTTATACGCTTCAAGTCTCTTATTCAATTCTGCAAGTAATTTAATCAAAATAAACAATAGAGTGTGGTGTTTATAAACTTGTCTCGTGTGGTCAGTACTAGTGCATTTCGTTAGTTTTCTTTTCTTTATGTTTCCGATCGACGTTTCACGTATATTTGACAGCTTCTTACCCTTCTCTTCAAAAAATTCAAAATTCTCTGTTGGTTTTTAAAAGTTCTACAAGCGAAGTGTAAATAACCAACCACGGAAACTTGAAATCGATATCGACTTTTTGCAGTTGTTTGTTCGAACGCACTAATCAGCGAGCTCATAAATGAATCCCCAACACCTGGTGGTCATAAAAGCAGTTTCAGTCCGGGATTTAAAGCCACAATAAGACATTTAGCTTCTGCACGGCGCTGAACGAGTTTTTGCGGTAGAACTCATCAGATATAATTTGAAGGGCATCTAAAACATTTTGCCAACGGATGATTAGAGGCCTGACATGTCATCATCTCGAGCTCACCGAAGCGCGTAATTGAAAGACTATTTCAGAAGGATGTCTGGATCTTCATCTTACATCAAATATTTTGAAGTATGTCCCACCTTGATGTAGATGCACTAAAGAAAAATTCATATAAATTTTGTAAGAGGGAAATAGAAATGCTCAGTGCATGATTTCAGCTCCTTTGTACCAGAACTAAATTAAAGAATGACAGAACAGGGGATGAATTCAAATTATAGAAGCATTTACATCTTTCATTACGGGCTTGAAGGCATTGTGTATAAGACCGGACATATTTGACGCGTTGTGTTGGACTACGACACCGACAATTATTAATGTCCCAGTTCGTTAATCCTCAAAAATTATACTACACGTCGAACATACTCCTTTGATTTATGGGCCTGTGTTGGGAAGGAATTCTAAAAATGAAACATACTTTTGGTGTACCATTTCCCATGCTAAATAACTAATAGCGAGTTGGATCCCACGGTGTGCTATTGGTCTGGTGTAGAGTCCACAAATTATGGAAAATACTTGGCAACATAATGTTTCGGGAGAATCTCGTTCTTTAACTGCTTTAGTTACAAAAAAAAAATAATGACACCCATATTAGTTCTGCAACGTCGTGGATAAACGATGTTTTTTCCGCAGTTACCAAATTTTTGTATGTGATCTGCTAAGAAGTGGTCATATTTCGAAATTAACTCAAGTAACATCATGCAATTATCATTACATAATCATTACAATAATAAGTAACATCATACATAATTGATTTAGTATTTCTAACAAAATAGTGACCTACAACCCCAGGTATACTCCTACCACAATGGCAGATACTTTCTCACAAAAATTTTACATTTTATAATGTGACACTTTATATCTTACACTTCAGCCACCATTTGAAAAGTCTTAAACGACTCGCGGAAACTACATATTTAAAAAAATTCAGACGTTTAAACGAAAACAGCTTTCTGCCATTGAATTCAGTGTAATCTTCGTAAATGTACTAACGATACTCTATGCGTATATTAGCCGTAAATAAAATTATTAGTTTATAATAACGCGACCCAGCTGTCGCTATCGCCTTCTGTGGCCAGTTGCACATTTTGTAACTTTTGCAAAAACAAAATAATACAGAAAAACGACGTTCATGTCATCTTATATAGTATATTTAGCGCTATCCCTAACAAAAATTTAAAGAAAAAAATTGGAGCCGTTCTTGAGAAATAGTTTTTAGTTACTTTTAATATTGCACATATTTCAGGCAATACTGCGCAAATACTTCGCAAGGCCGTAGTGAAATAAATAAATAAGAAGAATAAATTGCATTTGAGGTAAAATCACTATCTTCTAGTTCGTAGTTGTATAAAGACACAGATACAATGTCGAACAGTTGCAATTTTCGAAAATTTTGAGTTAACAATAATAAACGAACATATGCAACCATCGTAAGTGAACTCTTACAAGAAGCTGAAAGGATAAAAAATTGGAGCCATTTTTGAGAAAATTTTTAGAAAATGTCGCACGGGCTTCGTGTAAAACACTCCCAAAAATGAATGTTTTTTTTTTCCAAAATCGGAGAGCTTGAGTGAGGCCAGAGCGGACGGCAAATATTCATTTTAGAAAACATCAAATTACTTCCTAGGATGAAGTGTATCATAACATCAATTTATAAGGGAGATATGTACGAAATAAGTAAATTACTATAAACTTTTAAGAAAAAGTTTAATGGCTTAGTTTAAAGTTTTACTATTAGACTTTTAAGAAAAACGTTTATTTGTTAGCCTTTTGTAAAGTTAAAAAAATGATACAGCCTTGTAAAAGAACTTTTCGGGTCTATAACTTCAAAAGGATACATTTTACAACAAAACCTTATAGGGCTTTGTTTGCATCTACTTGACAAAGGAAGTAACACCTTCCTCCGCGAGAACACGCTGGGTCGTGACCTCGGTCAACGCGGAGCAAGCGGCCAACGGTTCGGAAGACGGAGCGGTGCCTCGTCATTATGTGCACCGCAGGCCAGGCTCAATGGCGCGTCAACTGAATGGCCAGTCGAATTCGGAGGTGCGTGCGACGATCAGAACTGCACGGGATGAACGGCATAGTTGCACGGAAATACATCTTGAAATCACTGCTGCATATGAAGAGCGGAAATTCCTTGCCGGATGTAGTAAAGCAGCAGAAGCCATTTGACTGTTCACCAGCACCGTGGATTTGTACACTGTGTCAAAGACGTTGCTCGCCAATGGCTCCAACAGCCACCAGCATTTTGCAACGAGTTTCTGCAGCGAATCATCGCAGAGGATGAAACGACGTTCTCCCACTTCACGTGCGAGATATGGCAACATCCCCCATACAGTCCACACTTGGGAATATCATGTGTGCGGTAATCTGAAGAAGGATATAGAGGGACGACGATTCGGAAAAGACGAGGCAGGTGAAAACAGTTGTCTCCACGTAGTTACAGCGCTGGAAGCGATTTGTACGCATCCGGAATCGAAAAGTTGGTGGACCGTTCCCAGAAATGTTTACAGTCTCTTGGGGACTATGCGGAAAAGTGAACTTACATTGTATGTTGCCATAGCCTGTATTGTAGATGGTCCCATAAATGGCAATTACTTGGAAGTGTAACTTACTTTTTGATTCGCTATGGTACTTTTATTTTGTATAGGGCGTATGTGACGGCACGATGCTAGTTGCGCATCAAACCGAGAAAAGGCACCCATCTCCGCCCCCCCCCAACACTAGAGGATTAGTAATACAATGTGCGGTGGATACCAACAAACAATCATGACACGTTTCAAACCTCCGGGAATTCTAATTTGACTGGGCCACTAAGCAAGACTTACCTGCAAGGAGAAGTTAAGCTCGAGCTCAGTGTCGAGCAGCCCGCTAGGGGGCAGCAGCAGCTCGTTCGAGCGCAGCGTTCGCTTAGAGCTCTGCAACAGAAGAGAGACAACCTTTTTGTATTCTACCCTCACACACGCACTAACATAGTGCTAGAGAACCGGAACACAGGATAATTCATAAAACAGTTTCGTTGCTACTATAACACATAACTCTAAAAGCATTTAAATACATAAACGCGCAAATAAATAAATAACAACGCAATGCGCAATTAAACACTCTCTCAACACTAACAGGCGCGAGGAGGGAAATTTCTCTCCCTAAATGCAATAACTACTAATTGAAACTTTCAAGCAAAACTATTTTCGGAAAATGTGATGTTATCACAAGTGGGTGTTAATAGAAACAAATCCGAATTAACATATAAACACGACAGAAGCAATGGGGGACAAAAGAGAAGCAAAGGATCCAATAGTAACTAATAAGAATACAAGGGAATGGCAACATAATTGAAGCTGGGAAAAGTGAGAATATATTGGTAAATAAACCAGTTAAAAAGGACACGAGCAATTTCCGAGGAGAAAGTCAATTAGGAAAATTATTACGAATCAAGAGCCAAAGAATAAATATAGTGCTAGAGTGTCAGTGAGCATTCCGAAAGTAGAATATGTGCGAGAAAAGGAACGGCTTTGCGCACTAGGAGGAAATAAAAAGGTGTTTGTGTGCGATCTCCCGCAGGGCGAAGACCGGTGAGCGCGTAAGACAAACGGGCAGACGACATTGCGGACGGCGAGGGGCGGATGTAGTATTCGGATGCGGATACGTGTGTAAGAATTGGTAATACTTTTCAAACCAGTAACTAGTAGGGAAAAGTTCCCAATAGACATTGAATTATATTCGCGTGCGTGGAGGACGGACATGCCATTGGCCTAGACTAGATTCAACAGAAGTGGAGCTTCGAATGGACTTAGGACGACGTTCAAGAGGGCTGAGGGAACCAAAGGAATGCGACTGAAAAGGGAACCTGTTAAATTATATACTGTACAAGATCAAGTTTTAGAGTAAATTAACAATTTCAAGATTAAGATTTAAATAAGGGTAACAGCTATGCACGCAAGTGGACGGTATGTTACGTAACAATAGTAAGGGTTTCATTACAACGTACAGGGAAACAAAATTAACCTACCAAAATCTTTCATAACCGAATATCTGTAAAGACTGTCTATCCGACGCATAAATAAAGTTTATCATGACATTTCATCATGCCAGCTTTGGTACACAATTACGGCTATTGTCAGGTGAAATATTAAATGGAAAAATAGGCAGAATAAGCAAATAAGAAGGTACCAGGATTACCCCCGCCAGATTAATAATTAAAACGAATAAAATCGTATCGCAGCATGATCTAAGCGTAGTCAGCGACATTTTAGGAAATTCGTAATATGACACACTTTACACAGATTACATTTAAAATTTCCCTTCCCAAAATTTATCTCTGGACCCCCCTGTTCGTTTGAAATTAAAAAGCTTTTGTCATCTTGATATACAAATATCTCTCCATTACATTCAAGTCCCAGAGGACGGCTCCGGCATTCCTCACGAGAGAGAGAGAGAAGAGAGAGAGAGGGAGAGAACGAGAGAGGGAGAGAGAGCGACCGCGCGAGAGAGAGAGAGACAGAGAGTGAGAGAGCGAGAGAGAACGAGAGAGAGGGAGAGTGAGAGAGAGCGAGAGAGAGGGGGAGAGAGCGAGAGAGAGAGTGACAGAGCGAGAGAGAGGGGGAGAGAGCGAGAGAGAGGGAGAGCGTGAGAGAGGGCAGAAGAGAGCGAGAGAGAGGGAGAGAGAGCGAGATAGAGGGAGAGAGAGCGAGAGAGGGAGAGCGTGAGAGAGGGAGAGAGAGCGAGAGAGAGGGAGAGCGTGAGAGAGGGAGAGAGAGCGAGAGAGAGAGCGAGAGAGACGGAGAGAGAGCGAGAGAGAGGGAGAGAGAGGGAGAGAGAGCGAGAGAGGGGGAGAGAGAGGGAGAGAGAGCGAGAGAGTGGGAGAGAGAGGGAGAGCGAGAGAGAGGTTGGTTAAGACAAGGTTGTTAGCGATGAAAATCAATTAGGGAGGATAGAATGTTGTTGTTGTTGTTGTTGTTATTATTACTACTATTATTATATGTTGAGGGTAGGAGGACTTAACAGGAGTAGTGGGCTTTTGGAAGCAGCCAAGCATTCACCCCGCGACAGAGGGGAACACGAAAATGAAGAAGAAGAAGAAGAAGAAGAAGAAGAAGAAGAAGAAGAAGAAGAAGAAGATGATGACGAAAATGAAGACGCCGACAGCCAGGATGGCCGCCCCAAGGATCGAACCCGGACTCCCCAATTGCGAATTCAGCATGCTAAGCACTCAAACACTTCGCTCGGTATTCCTAGTCTTCTTCGTTTTCGTCTATTTCTTCATTCTAACTACTACGACCACGACCACCACGACCACCACCACGACCACGACCACGACCACGACCACCACCACGACCACCACCACGACCACCACCAC